TGTTCTTATTGAAAATTAAGTGTAATGACTGAAATTTAAACGTGTGAGTTATCTAGTGGGTAAGTCACTAAAAGAGTGCCAAAGAGGCCTCTTATTGCTAAGGCACATGAATGCAGGCCAAGAAAACAATGAAATGGTTAGTGCAGTTGATAGTACACATAACATATTTGGAGCAATTAAGAGAAGAAATACAATAAAAGCAAATAAAAGGGGTGGAACCCCTTCCCTCGTGCCTAATGTGCTTAAAAAGGGTGAGGTTGACTCTAACCTAGGAAAACTCTAACATGGATGCATGAGGCTGGGGTTCACTAATGCAACTAGACTCGATAAGGTTTAACAAGGTCCCCAAGCCTTCAGACCTAAGGGAATGGGTCATCAATCCCAAGACCCTCGGTCGGTGGCTCGAGCGATCCCCTAGGTACTGCTATGGGCGCAGAGCACACCATCCACGTACCTAGAGAAATCATTCCTAGTCCTACAAGGCGGTGTGGGAAAGAGCCCACGAAAAATAAAATAAAATGGGATAACAGTAAATAAACGTGCACGTATGAAGTGTTCCCTATTTTGAGGGAAGGGGTCGAGAACCAACGCGAGGCTCTAAAGGTGACACACACCTCCCCCCAAATGCAATGCAAAGCGCGAGATAAAACAAGTACAACATACATCCAAACAACCAATCATACATACGTGAGTGATGGAATAGTTTGATACGCGCGTGAGGCAAAAAGTCCTAAAATGGAAAATGCAACCCTAATATCCAAATGCTATGCATAAAAAGGGTAGAAAAAGGAAAAGAATAGCTAAATCAAATGCTTGGACCAACTTAGGAAGTCCCCAGTGGAGTCGCCAACTGCCGCGCCCCACTTTTTGAGATGGTGTGAAAGTAGTGTGTGGAATATGTATGTGAATGTGTGTGAAAATGAAAATAAAAGGCCGTGGGACTTGAAAATGCGACGATTTGGCCAAACAGAGTTCAAAAAGGGTTTTTTACATGGAAAATGGAGTCGCCACTTGGTATAGAGTTAGGGTGTACCAAGTCACCCAAAAAATGATTTTTTGGAAAGTAAAACCCTTTTAAAAGAACTTTTAGGTATACGTAACCAAAGAAAGGGATCGGGGGTCATGTTTGATAAGGGAGAAGGCAAAGGCAAAGCCTAAGGCACTCCCTTACCCTAGCTAAAGCTAGTTGCGTGACTTAGCCCTCCTTTTCCTAATTTTTCTATCCAAAGTATGTGTTGCATGTTGGATACAACTAATGGATGCGAGAAAGAAATGCAATCCTAAATCTAAAATGTCTCGTATGAGGCTTTTTGGTCCCAATCACATGAATTGTGATGGCCAGTAAGGAAAGCCCTCATAGAGGTCACGGGCAATGCAAATGAAGACTCAAATATGCGTGTAAGTGTGCAAATGTAAGAAAAGTGCAAGTGTGCCAATTGTGAAAATAAAGGTGTTTGTGTGCTAGTGGATGAAAATATAATAGTAGATACATATAAGTGCAATTGGGTGCAATTTTTGAGGTAGAAAAACAAGTGACAAGAAGAAAAATGTGTGAACATGGAATTTGTATTGAGAAGGATATAAGTAGTGAGAAAATGTGGATAAGAGGGTGAGGGAGTGACATGATGAGAATGAAAGTGCATGAACCTAGGGGTATGCATCAAGTCGGGTACGGGAATGACTCCTAATTTCATGACTTTAATTTTCCCTTTGATTAGAAGGAAGAACTAGCGTGCTAAGGCTATTTTGTAGCCACACTCGCTCGTTTCCCTTATCTAAAGGGGACCCTCAAGCAAATGTACTCTATAACTAGCATGAAAATGCAAAAGCCTAAAATGAAGGGGAAAGGATTGGAGGAGCATGCCAAATGCTAGAAAACTAAGAAAAATGCATGAAATGTAGTGAAACATGCAAGTATGAACTAGCGAGGGGAATCCCTAAGGGTCTAGCGTTGGACTAGCCCATATCTATGAATTCCTACTAGCGTTGGACTAGTGGAAAACGGGACAATGAGCCACAACTAGCGTTGGACTAGAGTGGCGACGTGCATTCATCCATCATATTCATCTATGACTATAGAAAGCAAGTAGACATGCCAATCACATATAAACACATAGCACATAACACTTAGCATGCTCGACTAGATGCAAGAGCCTAATAAAGCGAATTAACACGTAGCAACAAAAGCAAGCAATCAAGCTAATGAACCTATTACATTTGCTAACTAAAACAAAAGGGGAAGGGGAAAAATGGACAAAATTGCTCTCCAAGCCCTATCTATTACAAGCCAAGAGGTGTACACATATCCCATAAAAGAATAACTTAATAAAAGCAAAAGTAAATGAAATAAATGAAAGGAATTAAGGAAAAGCAAGGAAAGCAAAGTAGACATGCAATTCTCACTTAGCACATTGGATCACATAGGAGAGACAAAAAGGGATAAAAGAAACTATACCTCCCCATTCATGATGTTAGTAGCATAAGCAGGACTCAATTTGGACTAGAGTCACCAAAGAAAAGGTTAACTTGGGCTAAAACCATCAAAGCAAAGGATTAATGCACCAATTTAGTGGTAAAATGTAAATAAATCAATTTGAATCCACCAAATCATCGAATCCTTTTTCAATTGCAACTTGAAAATGATCGAATAATGCATTATTTCCAAGCAAGAGCGGATCACTGATCAAATTTTCAAAATAGCAAAATGACTAAGGACCCAATTGCAAACATTAATCAAGCACTCAAACCAAATTAAAACATTTTAAGAACTTCAAAGGTGCAAGAGTAAAGAAGGGGTCAAGTAATGGTTCAAATTGCAATTTCCTTAGGATCTAATTGCAAGCAATTAAAACATAATTGGGCCATAGTAACATTATGGGAAACTTGGGGGGCTGAAGTGCAATTTTTGGAAGTTATTTCATGCATCCTACGAAGCTTCCTTCTGCAATTCCGATTTCACAATAGCAGCTCTCAGATTGCAATCTCAAATGCACGACTACCACTTCAATCAAACCCAACTGGAATCAAAGCAACAAGATTACTGCATATTCCTCTCACTTTTCAACATAAAAACTTTTAGATTTAAACAAAAAAAATCAAAAGAAAAGAGCATGCAAATCTGGCCACTTTCTGTAACTTCTGATGTTTTTGGGACTTCAGCAATCTCACGCGACAAAATCTAGCAATAAGGCTCTAAGCTCCAAGTTCTCATTCAACGCCATAAACTTATCATCAAGATATCATACAAGGGGAAGGAAAATCTGGAATGGGAAAGGCTTGCAAGTTCCAAGTTCATTTAAAAGAAGATTTCCCCACAGGCAACAGATCATGCAAACCAGTCTCCAAACTAATGAAAATCATGCAACTTATGACTTTTATTTTCTCAACCAAGCACTAAATACACACAAGAACAGGCAACAGCAAAAGGCAGCAAACCCACGAAGCATTGATGTGTTTCTGAGTTCATTCTCAGCAAGCATCGCACGAATTAAGCAAGCAAAGCAACTAACCATATCATGAACTCCAACCAAACTTGCTAATGATGTACCAAGATAGACTTCCTATGTTTTCTTGCCCAAAACCCAAGTTTAAACAGAACCCAACTCTAGATCTACGCATGCCAAAAAAAATTCAGAATAAAGAGCATGCAAAGCCGGAAACTTTCTGCAACTTTCTCATTCAGCCGAAACATATTCATGCGAGATAACTCAAACGAGACCTACTGATCCATTACCCAAACCCCAAATGTTAAAACTTCACCAGCATTGTTAACATCACCCCAATACAGCCGCTTATTGTCAGCGGCTCCAACATGCGTCTGAATATGAAAAATGCAGCAGAGCCATAAAGAAAGAAACTTGCGGTAAATTCATGCATATGATATACCAATCGACCAACAAACAAACACAAACTACAGCCTAGGAACAAATTCTAGGAAAAGCACCAAACAGATTCTAGGGAGACTAAGCAGGCACCAACATACCTAAAATGCAAATAAACAGCAAAAGGAAACAGCTTTGGAAGTGTTTTTCCAGCAAAGTTTGACGGCAACGGTGGCGACTGATTCACGCGAGTGACGGCAACTCCAGATCCTCCTCCGTTCCTTGGCTTTTTTTTTTCGCTACTGGTTCCAGTCTTTCTCTCCTCCGCAACTGTCTTTTCTTGTTCCTTGTTTCTTGCTTTTTCTCAGATTTTCCTTCTCTCGTTCTGGTTTTTTCTCTGGTTTTCTACCCTCAACTTTTTCACTCAGCCGTCAACTCTTTCTTCCTCTCCTGCCCTAGTTCTCTCTCACTCTCTCTTATCTCTCGGCCTCCTGTCCTTTCTAGCCGTCAACCTTTCTCCTCAACCCCAGCCGTCATTCGATGCCCCCTCCTTCTTTGTTCTCTCCTCTGTTTCCCACTTGCTCAGTTTTTCTTTCCGCCGCCAACTCCAAAACCTCTCTCTCAGCTGCGGTTCCTTTTTCCAGCTTTTATATCAAGTTCATAACCCTAAAACCCTGCTCTCAATGGCCAGCAATCAATCTCCTCTCAAAACCTTTTCCTTGGCCATCCGATGTATCCGACAAAATCCCATGAAAAAGACAATACTTTCCTACGCTGCTGCATGTGCGAGTATTTTTTTTTTTTTTGGTAATAATAAAAATAAGTAAAAACAACAACAATTTAATCAACATCGGATAAAAATAAATAAACTAAACAGCAAAGTTGCAATTTTCATTTTTCTTTTCTTTTTCCTTCATTTCTCATTTCTCATTTTTTCATTTTCGTATTTCTTTTTCCAAGAAAACATTGAATTTAAATCAAGACAACTAAAACATAATTTTTGGAATGCTTTTCCTTTTTTTTTCAAGAAATTCTATGTTTAAACTTAAAAATAAAAATAAAAAAATAAAAAAAAACTAAAAAACTAAAAAGTGAATAAAACTAACACGACAAATAAAAATTAAGACAAAATAATAAATGCAAATTACACTAAAATTTTGGTGTCTACAGCTTCCAAAGAAGGTCTAGGATGTGTCCTAATGCAAATGGGTAAGGTAGTTGCCTATGCTTCTTGGAGATTGAAACCCCACGAACAAAACTACCCAACTCATGACCTAGAACTAGCTGCAGTAATTTTCGCCTTGAAGAAATGGAGACACTACTTGTATGGCGTGACTTTTGAGGTTTATACGGACCATAAGAGCCTCAAGTACTTGTTCTCCCAAAAGGAGCTAAATTTGAGACAAAGGCGATGGGTAGAATTTTTGGAAGATTATGACTGTTCGATTAATTACCATCCAGGAAAAGCCAATGTGGTAGCTGACGCTCTAAGTAGGAAGGCCCAAGTAGCAGGGTTAATGGTAAAAGAGTGGGATATGTTAGAAGAAATAAGTGGTTGGAACCCTCGCTTGGAGAAATTGAAGGTTTTACTTGGGAACTTATCATTGAAGTCACCGTTACTAGAGCGTATTAAGGAGGCCCAGAAAACGGACCCTATGATTCAGAAGAATTTGGAGAAAGTGCAAAAAGGGGAAACCCTAGACTTCAAATTAGGGTTTGAAGGGGTATTGAGGTTTCGAGATCGAATTGTGATTCCGGCAGATGAGGAGTTAAGGAAAGGAATTCTAGAAGAATCACATCGGTCGAAGTATACTATACACCCAGGTGTGACCAAGATGTATCATGATGTGAAGGGATTATACTGGTGGGAAGGTTTGAAAAAGGACGTGGCAGCGTTTGTACAGAGATGCTTGATCTGCCAACAAGTAAAAGCTGAACATCAGAAGCCCTCTGGTTTATTGCAACCGTTAGAAATCCCTGAATGGAAATGGGAACACATAACAATGGATTTTGTAACGGGACTGCCTAAAAGTCAAAAAGGATCTGATGCAATTTTGGTAATAGTCGATCGACTCACTAAGTCTGCACATTTCCTACTTGTAAGCATGAGTTTTTCATTGGAGAAATTGGTCAAGTTGTACACAGAAGAGATCCTAAGGTTACATGGTATTCCAGTGAGTATCGTGTCTGATCGAGATCCAAGGTTTATCTCGCGTTTTTGGCAGAAATTTCAAGAGTCTTTGGGGACCAAATTGAAGTTTAGTACTGCGTACCATCCCCAAACCGACGGGCAGTCGGAAAGGACAATTCAAACTCTGGAGGATCTACTGAGGTCGTGCATACTGGATTTTGGAGGTAATTGGAGCTAATATATGACCTTAGTGGAATTCGCATATAATAACAGCTATCAGGCTTCGATTCAAATGGCACCTTATGAAGCTTTGTATGGAAGAAGGTGTCGATCTCCGATTCATTGGGATGAAGTTGGAGGAAAGAAAATCGTAGACCCTACAGCTATACCTTGGATAGAAGAAGCCCAGGAGAAAGTAAAATTAATTAGAGAAAGGCTTCAAGTTGCTCAGAGTAGACAAAAGAGCTACGCCGACACAAGGAGGAAAGATTTGGAATTTGAAGTAGGAGACAAGGTTTTTCTAAGAATTAAACCCTTGAAGGGCGGAGTAGTGTCTAAGAAAGGTAAGAAGCTAAAGCCAAGGTATATCGGACCTTTCGAAATTTTGAAGAGAGTTGGGATTGTAGCATACCAGTTGAAATTGCCTGCAAGCATGGCTAAGATTCACGATGTATTTCACGTTTTCATGCTTAACAAATATTATTCTGATCCAAGTCACGTGTTGCCACTGGAAGGAATTGAGGTGGATGAGACGTTAACGTATGAAGAAGGACCAATCAAGATTTTGGAAAGGGAAGTAAAGGAGCTGAGAAATAAGAAAATTCCTCTGGTAAAGATTCTATGGAGAAATCATGGATTAGAGGAAGCAACTTGGGAATTAGAAGAAGAAATGCAGAAAAAGTACCCCAGTTTATTTCTTTAGAAAGATTGAATTTTGAGGACAAAATTCATTGTAAGGAGGGGAGGATGTGAGAACCCTGAAAATGTATATAAACAAATATCATTTTATATTTCATTGGAGATTCTTAACCTGCAATAAAGTATAGTCTTATCCTTCTTTGTTTTCATAATGAGTGCGTAAGAATAAATTTTACGTGCAAACTGACACATTTGTATCAAATTATTATTTCCTTTGACTTTATTATACTAAATCAATAAATTTTGAATTAGATTAACTCTATTTCTTGAGAATAAATAGTTGGAAATCCTGATAACTAATTTAATCGTTAAATAATGTTAGGATTTACTAGGAACCTTAATACAAGATTGTAATCGATAAATTTTTGATAAAAATGGTTTAAGTATATTAGATATATGTAGGACGTAACAATTTCGATAATCGAAATCCTTGTGAGCCTAGTACACTATTAGGAGTTTAAATCATTCTTAGGGATAATTCGTGAGATTATGCTCGAATCAAGGGCTTAAGTGGTCATTGAAGGAAAAGTGAAAAGTCCAAAATACCCTTCACAATTCCACAAAATCACCATACAACCACAACCATTCCATGCAAAGCCAAACACTCCCTCGGACAGCATGATCATCCACCACCCTAACCGGCCAACCCGCATCTTCACCACTTCAACACACAACCTCTGCCTACACTCAACCCTTCTCAACACCGCGGCACCATCTCCCTCCCTCCTCATTCTTATATCGTAAACCACCGCACTCCACTATCTTCGTGAGAGAGCTGCATCCGAGAGCAAGGGAGGAGGGAACGCGAGCTGCAATTTTTTTTTCTGTTCTGTCCGCGAGCTGAGGGAAGAGACCAGGAGACCATCGTACTTTTCCTTCTCCTAGCTGTGGCCATTTCCAACTTCAACCAAGCCACATTGCATCAGTCCCAGTTGCAGCTTCAACAGGAACCAAATCTGTACGTGAGAGCCGAGGGGAAAGAAGAAATTTCAGATTTCTTGTGCGTAGGCTTAGCTTGTAACTGAGGTAATTTCTGGGCTAATTAAGTGAATTACTAGTAGATGAAGCCATATCAGAGCTTGCATGTGTTGCTTGTGCTGTCGGTTGATGAAATCAAGTCACTAGAAAAATTCTGTTTTGGTTAAATGGTTCTGCCGAGAAGCTGAGATGGAAATGCAACTCTTGATTTATTTACCTGTGACAATCTGAGTGTAATTATGTGTTTATCTAATCCAAAATCAAGAAGATTAAGCCAACTAGGAACATGCATGTTGATTTTAGGCATCCGGATTAATGTTTTAGGAAAAGAAATTCTTTTATGCGCAAGTTATGGAAATAGCCGAGAATCTGACTTGATAATGCAGCTTAAATCTGGTTAATTGGTGTAAGCCGAGCTTATTGTGGTGATTAGATAGTTAATAACAAGTTAATTAGGCTCTGTATGTAGTTAATTAATTGGTTTAAACCAGAAAAAAATAAAATCAAAATGCAACCTGCCACATGGAAGTTCACCCGAGCCAAGATGGAAATTTTTTTTTGAAATGTTGGATTAAACCTGCTTCCTTGTGATAATCCAGAACTGTTATTATGTTTAGCTAACTAAAGCTTGGATGATTAATGTGGTCAGAGCCTTGCATGATAATTTTATGCATTCGGATGATGTATTAAGAAGCACAAGAAACTCTGTTTTGATGTATTATACCTGCCGAGAGCTTGTCTTGATTCATACAGCTCCATTTGGTTTAATTTTGTTGCTTTGAGCCTATAACCATAATTAACCAGTTAATAACAAGATAATGGGGCTTTGCATAAAGTTAATTTGTTGAGTTAGTACAGAAGATAAAAACAAAAATGCAATCAGTTTCATTGTGACAGCCCCACCTTCCCCTAAGGCGAACCAAAGGGGTTAGCGGACTGCCTGCCCAGCTCTCGCCAGGACTACGGGCAGTTACACGCGATCTAGTACGTTTCGGGAAAGTAAAAGCACGCTCGGACAAGCCACAAGTATCAAATTACCAAAATTTCAAAAAAAATGAAAATGCCGAATAGTGGCCTGGACAGCAGAATCCGGCCGGAATCTGGCCGGATTCTTGGCCGGATACTGTCCAGTGAGCAAGTTCACGGATTCAAAATTTCCCAAGCAATCCGGCCGACAATCCGGCCAGTTTCTGGCCGGATTCCTGGCCGGATTCAGTCCAGTGCCTTTCCGTCAAAATTTTTTTCTTTTGCCGTTTGAAAGCCGAATCGTTCCGAAGTCCATCCAAACATCAACCAGACACGAATACATTGAAATTCATCATTTACAACCACATGGGCATGTCAAAAGCTATTCATCATGAATACACACGTTCGGTTTGCCAATCAAAAGATGAACCCAATACACATTAGGGTTTCATGCAAAGAGCTATTCAAAATAGACATATACATGGCTCAATTTGGCAACCAACAAGTATGATCTTCCAAAAATGATCATTTTCCTGTAAGGAAAACAAATGGAATGGTGTGAGCTAAAGCTCAGTGAGTTACTACCACATAAGCAACAAAGATCACTTAAGCATAATCTTTCATTCCAAGTGCACAACTAATGAATAAAACAAATCAGTAAAAGGATACGGACGGCTCTCAAGAGCCCATTTCCACGCTTACATTCTTGATCCAATCTCATTGACCCTCCGTCAATGTTTAAGAATACCCGACCGTAGACCTCACTTCACTCCATTCCTTCCACCAAACATACCCCAACCGGGCCCGCACTCCAATCAGTCATTTAGGTAATACTCGAGTATACCGGAACCAAGAGTCTCATTACTACAAGATTCCCCAGTACAGTCCCCGTGGCACGTCAATATTCACGACCAAACCCTCGCCGGCTCGATCCAATTGACTACCTACGGGGTTGAGCTCAGTAATACAGTAAGGCCGTTGGACATTCGTCCAAACGACACCAAATCAGTTTTCCATGAATGGAATTCAATATCTCATATAGCAAGTGCAGTCTTTCAGTGAAACGGTACACAGTCATGAATGGAATCACAAGGGGGTGAGGGCGGTCAAGTACACCCTCACCTCAATCACTTCCAATAGCCAAATAAGCCTTCAAGGCATCACATTCACATGTAACAAAGCCACGTAGTAACATTTAAGTGAGTAGTATACTCACAAATCAATTCAGTGCTATTTCATGCACTTCCGTCAGAAGAATGTCGTGAACCACCGTCACGCCCTAGAACACGTAAACAAATGCAATGAGACTCGATAACGAGTCACAAAACAATGCCAATCACAACCCCAATAGGGTTTTGCAAACATATACAAGCATTATAGCAAACCAGAAAATCAGGAAATGTAACT